TCATTCCTCTTGTAAATTTAATGTTTAATTGTATCTTTAGTAAACTCAAGAATAAAAGATGGACTGGTTGAATTAGGGCATTTGTTGAATACTTTTAGATGTAACCTGTAATATGTCACATTATCCAGAAACATGACAAACTTCTAGTACCGACACTGAGAGAGAGGGAAAGAGAGAGTGAAAGAGGAGTGTTAGTGATGTGGTAGTGAGGGATGGTTATAATCAGACTGAGAGGAATCGACTTGTGCTCAGAAGAGTGGTGAGTAAGGAAATAGATTGATTACTCATAGAGATCCTAATCAGAGAAAGAATTATTGAAGAGGAGAATGCAAGAGAGTAAGAGAGAGATAAGAAGAAGGGGAGGATGAGGTGGTAGAGAGTAGCTGTTTCATTGAAACCACATTTCTTTAATCATTTGTTAAGATCTTTTCTTTAAATGTTGTTTTAAACTTGAAGACACAGTAACATATTTTTTTTTGTAGACACATAACGCTCCAGAGAAAATCAGAGTAGGAGTATTCCGATTGGACGGAAAGTCCACAAATTTGTCCCTTTACGTTAAGTTTAACGCCACCCATTGGATTGAGATATTTGATTATAGCTTATTTACTTAAAAATCAAGGAAACCAAGATTGGTTTTAAGAGTAAGAATTAATTTCACCATCCATGAAATCTGGTTTGCTAAAAGCAGGTCACTGCTATTAGGGTCATTCACAAAATGAAGTGTCTTGAGGACCTGATATTTGGTTTTTAAAACTGTACTGCATGCATATTGAATTTTGGTTGCTCTTATGAACACAGAAATCGGTTTATTTTGAGAACGTAAACATGTACGTATAAAAGGCAATTTATGCAATTGTATCAATTAAAAGGTTTAGTCTTGGCAAATTAAAGAATGCCATGCTATTTGTACAAAAAAGAAAGCAGTTAATCAGTGTGCATAAATTGTATCGAATTCCTAAAGAATATTTCGGTCATTTCTTTAGTTGTATCAAAAGAAAGGAGATTTACAAGTTTGATAAATTCTCATTTTGGCTGAGTTGAAAAACAGCAACAGTTATTTACCAAGGTAGATTGAATGCAAAATAAGTCAAATTTGCTTCTGCGCATAATTATTCAAGTCAGTTGTGAAAGTCACTTTGACAGGTGTATGTGACAAGTTATTGGATTAAGGCGATACATGTATGTGCACAGGCTTGTGCTCTGAACATCATGAACTTACTTTTTGGTTGGATTTTTGGCAAGAAATACAGTGAACCATTCAATGAAATATCTTGTGTGTAACTCTACGAATAAGTATTCTTCTAAATACTAAACATCTGATTTTCTATCTGCCTTTTCTCTTTGATTGCAGATTGAATAAAAACAGTTATCCAATACAAAGCGGCGTCCGTTCTTTTTTATCAAGTGATCCAGTAGCCATTTTCTATTTCATCCATTCCTGTCAAAGGTAATCAGAACTTATCAAAAACTAATCAAAACCTTTCCGAATATTCAATCGAGTCTTTCAATAATTCACCCAAAGAATATTGCACTAATAGGCAGCAAAATATTACAACAATCAGTTTACTTAGTCTTAAAGATATTGCATCTTTTCATGCGTTATTTATTTTATCTTCAAAATAGACTTCTATGTCAAAATTGAGTTATAATACCAAATTATCTAACAGAGCATGGAAGCACCGCTGTTTTACATGTATATGCAGTGACTTATTATTTGTATACACAGATAAACACACGTTATAAAAGGTTTTCAAATATCCAAGCAATTTTTAAAACCCAAATGATAAAACTCAATCCAAATTCTTAAAACCATTATTTTGATCAATATAGAATATTGCACTAAAAGGCAGCACATTATTACAATTAATTGATTTCCTGTCTATGTGTCATTTATACGTCGCGACACGTCAGGGAAAATGAGAAATAAAATGGAGTATGAAATAAAAGCTCACACATTCGTGAAATCATCATCGATTAAAAAAGGGGTGGTAGGCAGGCAAATTTTCTTTCAGTTATTATATGAAAAGGAAGAACATTTGCTTGCTCGCTACGCTATAGAGGGGGCCGAATTCTTGAGAAAATATTTAGCGGCGAAACAGCCGGCCGATAACTCGCTCAGTGCGGGGGGGGGGGGGAATAATCAGCAATTTTTGAAAAATCGCACCCCCTTGGGTGCAAGGGGAGGGCGCCCATCTCCAAAAAAGGTAAATATTAACTGGATCCACCACTGTCAGTGATTAAAAAGCGATGCTAGGCACGCAAATGCTTTTCAATATGAAATGGCAAGCCAAAGAATTTCGACTAGTCGCTAAGCTCGCTCGCCAACAAGGAATGAACAATAATCCTGAAATAATACTTGCCCGTTTGATTAAAAAAGGGCGTAATGTAGACAGATTCTATTCAAGATTATAACCTATACTATTACTTTTCCTTTTACCTTCCTTGTTCGCCAATTAAACAAATTAAATACAAAAAAACGTCCCCTTAAATGTGTTTGTGCGATTGTGCCCTCCCTTTCACGGAACTAGCAGACACAGTTACTTTTATGAGAAAAAAATATCCCTATAATTATTATAAAAAGAGAAGTGCAAAAAAATCGCTCACTGTCTTTTTACGCTAACTCGCGATTATAATTTTAAACATATTCATCTGACGAATGTGCAGCTCCTAAACGTCAGACGAAGAAGGTAGGAAGGCCGGTAGATGCTATTCAATATGAATAAGCTTAAATCCGCCCGCTCGCTAAAAATGAAATTGACATCGCCTTCACTATCAATGTGCCCGACCCGTCCTGCAGCAAGGAAACTCTCTGTTTTGATAATTCTTTGGTTTAAAACGCTCGCTCGCCAGTTTATGGTATAAACATGTTCATTTTTAGCTCTCTCTCTCTCTCGCTATATACCATCGCTTACCAAAAGGAAATAAATATTACCTTACATAATGTTGTGCCTAGGAAAAAAAATCACTATTTGTTGAAAGAAGGTCGACTCAAGGTTCAGAAAAGTTATTCTGTAACTTAAAAGCTTCTGCACCTGCCCCCCTCCCCCTCCTAAACAAACAAAAAAGAATTGCCTCTTTCGCAAAGGTTTATCACCTTTTTTTTGTCAATCAGTGTCTTCGGATCGGGGAATTAAAACGCTTCCCAAAATGCTGGCTACGGCCCTGAATAACATCAACAAAACAAATCACACAAAATGAAAGAAATACTATCGGCGGAGCAAATGTCGGCGGAGCGATTGTTGCCGGAGCAATTGTCGGCGGAGCAAATGTCAGCGGAGCAATTGTCGGCGGAGTAATTGTCGGCGGAGCAAATTTCGGCGGAGCAAATGTCGTCGGAGCAGATGTCGGTGGAGCAATTGTCGGCGGAGCAAATGTCACGGAGCAATTGTCGCTTTTTTCGGAGCATTCGTCACCGGAATAATCGTCGCCGGAGCATGTGTCGGGTTACCTTAGATTCATGTTGTTGGCTCAGTAGTACAGAGTCAGAAAAAATGTCCCACTTTTTAACAGTTGTATTGTTTGAAGTATGAATATTTAATCATGGGTTTTAATGATATGTCTTGATAGAGTTATCCTGCCAGTAAAATAGGTCCCATTTCCATTTGAATCTCTGCATGCATGACTGAACATCAGACAATCTTTACAACACTGCCTAAAATAGTGTTTTGAACAAAAATAGCCAGACGGACATTTTTCTTTGCACTACTGGTAGAATTCGGGATCTTGTTTAGGTAATGTTTGTAAACACTGGCTTCCTTGCCACGGTTGGATGCTATTTGTCTCTGGCAAAACATTGTTTTGATGTCTGTTGTCATCCAGCATTTGTTCAAGTTCAAGTTCAAGTTCGTTTATTCATGTCTTTTTCATAAAAAAACACAGCAAATGCAAATAAACATACAAGTATATATACATACAAAGAATGTTCAGTTAATACAATAGTTTCAAATGGAATGGGAGAAGAAAGGAAAAGCCCATGGTGGCCTTGTATAAAAAGTTCCCCGAATTTATATTATTTATATTACTGAGCATATATTAGTTAAAGACATCACAAAATACAGCAGTAAACACAATATAAAAAAAAAAAAAAAAAAAAAAACATGTATGAAATAATTTAAAATTGGAGGGGGGCAAAAAGGTTTAGAACGTAAATTTAACGGTACTCAGAAAAAAAGGTCAGTTTCATTTGTTTTTCAAACATTGGACTGTTTTTAAATAGGCGAATGACTTGAAGTAGAGTGTTCCATATGTTTGGCAAAGTATTTCTTACATATTTTTTTAGAGAATGAACTTTTTACTTTCCATAAATGAAACGTGTTAAAAAGCCGAGTATTGTGAAAATGAATTTGGTTATTGATCGAAAATATGGATGATATTCTTTTGGAAGTATATTTTGAAAAAAAATGAAAACCAATTAGTGCAGTATGATATTTGAACAAATCAAAAACATGTTTAGGGTTTTTAAACTAGGAAATACAGGAGCAGAATGGGCATAATAATCACTACCTGTACAAATACGTAGGGCCTTCTTTTGTAAGAGGGTATTAATAATAGGGGGATCGCAATTTCTGCAGACTGTCCATCCAAAGTATCCTCTTTCTTCCCCTACTCCTTCTGCCCACAATTTTCCTTGTCAAAGCAAGATTCTCTAGGCCTTCTTTACGTGTAATGTGACCCATGAACTTCAACTGCCTAATCAACATCTCACGTATCAATTTCCTTTGCACCCCAGCTCGTGTAAGAATTTCCTCATTACTTACTTTGTCAGTCAAGGGGATTTCCATCATTCTTCTTAAAAACCACATTTCGCAACTTTCCAAACGCTTTTTAGTATCAGAGGCTAAAGTCCATGTTTCACTACCATACATGGGTAGATGTAACTATTCAATACTCTTTAAATATTCTGGTCCTCATACTCATTGTTAGATTTGTCAGAATTTTGCCTAACTTTGAAAATGCAGATTTAGCGAGAGCTATCCTTCTCTTGAGCTCTGTCTCACATCTGGCATCCTCGGTGATCATGCTGCTGAGGTAGTTAAATGAGGAGACTTGTATAATAATCTGTTCATTCAGTTTCAAGTTACATTTTGGACTGCTCTTCTTGGATACCACCATGCACTTGGTCATGGTATAGTTGATCTCTAGTCCCATTCTCTAACTTTCTTTTACAACTACATTCAGGAGTCTCTGGAGATCTTTCTCTGATTCAGAAAATAAAACAGTGTCATCAGCATATCTAATATTTGTGATTGAATGGCCACCCACTTGTATCCCATTTTCATCCTCCAATTCTCTTAGAATGATTTCACTATACATATTGAACAGGTCCGGCGACATAACACAACCATGTCTGACTCCCCGTCTGATGTTAATATATTCACTACACTCTCCTTCTACCCTGATGCATGCAAACTGATTCCAATATAGACTTTGTAGCAGTCTTAGATATTTCCTATATATATCAAGCTTTTTCAGCTCTTCAAAAAGTTCTAAATGGTTTACTTTATCAAAAGCCTTTGAATAATCAATAAAACACATGTACATATCCTTTTGCATTTCGACTGCTCTCTCCGTTATATTTCTAACCACAAATATTGCATTTCTTGTGCCCGCCTCCTTTAAAAAAAACCAAATTGTTCCCTTCCGACCATGGGGGTTATTCAGGGGTGTCGATTTGTATCCGTGGTTGGGGGGGGGGGGGATGATAGGTGCCAAAATATTTTCGGCAATGGATCAAAGCAACTAAGAGGTAGAAGCGTGTGGAAGGTTGCACCTCTCCCTTCCAAGTTATTAACTTTTTCAAGTCACCCTCAATAAAGATAACATTTCAGAGAATATGGGACCCATGTGGGTCCCACATGGGCTTGCTATCTGGATAAATATCCTCTCAAGTGCGAATCACTTACAGAGCGCACGAAGCGCGCTCACTAGGGGGGGGGGGGTGGGTGGGTGCAGGGAGGGGAGTTTCCCCCTTCTCGCGCGAAGCGTCTTAATCCTTGTCTGCATTCAGTTCATTAAATTGTTAAAGAAAGAAGACGATTCATTGTACCATTCTCGCGTCTTAATCCTTGTCTGCATTCAGTTTGCCCCCCCCCCCCTCCCCTCCCGCGTGAAGCGCGGAAGCTTTTCATTAAATTATTAATGAAAAAAGACGCTTCGTTGTACCATTCTCGACTCTTAATCCTTGTCTGAATTCATTCCCCCCGCGAAGCGCGGAAGCTTTGACGTTTAATTAAATTATTAGAGAAAAAAGACGATTCTCGACTCTTAATCCTTGTCTGAATCAAGCCCCCTCACCTTTGACGTTTCATTAAATTATTAGAGAAAGAAGACGATTCGTTGTACCATTCTCGCGTCTTAATCCTTGTCTGCATTCAGTTCATTAAATTATTAAAGAAAGAAGACGATTCGTTGTACCATTCTCGCGTCTTAATCCTTGTCTGCATTCAGTTTTTCCCCCCCCCCTTCCCCTCCCGCGCGAAGCGCGGAAGCTTTTCATTAAATTATTAATGAAAGAAGACGATTCGTTGTACCATTCTCGACTCTTAATCCTTGTCTGAATTCATTCCCCCCCCCCGCGAAGCGCGGAAGCTTTGACGTTTCATTAAATTATTAATGAAAGAAGACGATTCGTTGTACCATTCTCGACTCTTAATCCTTGTCTGAATTCATTCCCCCCCCCCCCGCGAAGCGCGGAAGCTTTGACGTTTCATTAAATTATTAATGAAAGAAGACGATTCGTTGTACCATTCTCGACTCTTAATCCTTGTCTGAATTCATCCCCCCCCCCGCGAAGCGCGGAAGCTTTGACGTTTCATTAAATTATTAATGAAAGAAGACGATTCGTTGTACCATTCTCGACTCTTAATCCTTGTCTGAATTCATCTCCCCCCGCGAAGCGCGGAAGCTCTGATATTTAATTAAATTATTAAAGAAAAAAGACGATTCGTTGTACCATTCTCGACCTTAATCCTTGTCTGAATTCATTCCCCCCGCGAAGCGCGGAAGCTTTGACGTTTAATTAAATTATTAGAGAAAAAAGACGATTCTCGACTCTTAATCCTTGTCTGAATCAAGCCCCTCCCCCCCCCCTTCCTTTGACTTTTCATTAAAATATTAGAGAAAGAAGACGATTCGTTGTACCATTCTCGCGTCTTTATCCTTGTCTGAATTCACTCCCCCCCCCCCTCCCGCGCGAAGTGCGGAAGCTTTTCATTAAGTTATTAAAGTAAGAAGACGATTCGTTGTACTGTTCTCGACTCTTGATCCTTTTTCTTCCTACGTCCTCTTCCTTTCTTCTTTCTCTCTCTCTCTCTCTCTCTCTCTCTCTCTCTTTTGGGGGTCGGCGGTTTTTTTTTTGGGGGGGGGCGACCTCCTCCGCCCCCTGGCTACGCGCCTGTATCATCTCTGTCCCTCATTATCTCTTTCTTCCACTCTCTACTTCTTTTTTGCGCTTCGCGCTTAACATTTAGCTCGTTGCTTTTTAACGCTTCGGCTTTGCATTTGGCGCACTGCATTTTTATGATGCTGTTGATTGAATAAATTGAATAAATTGTATGAACGAGAATTCAATTTATTCTTGTTTCATATACGGATGTCTCATTTACTTCGTTTTCTATTGATATATGTATGTATTATGACAATGAGATAGCAAAATGTGTATATGGATGCTCATCTTGCGAGTAATAACCATTAACTACTCTCATCGGGCTCTCATCATTAATTTTTCTCTTCAATTTTTTTTTTTTTTGTGATGGTGAATTATTGGGGGGATGATTGTACAGGCCATCCCCCCACCTGAAATATTGGGGGGGATATATCCCCCCCTCCCCCATCCCCCCGGGATCGACAACCATGGGGTTATTCTACTTCTTGCTCTCAAAAGCAAAATCCTCAAAATAATCTTAGTGATATGGCAGATAAGGCTGATTGTTCTATATTGCTTACAATCCACGTCTCCCGGTTTCTTTGGGAGAGTAATTCATCTGGAAATGTTCCGTCATTATATATTTTGTAGATAAATTCCGTTAATCTATCAACACCATATTCCTCTAATGCTTCAAACATTTCAGTGACCACACCATCTGGTCCAGCTGCTTTGTTCTTCTTCATCTTTGACATTTCCCAAACGGACTTCAGATTTAAGACTTTTCTCCCCTTTGACTTCATCTTCAAAACTCGGCTTGCCTACTATCTTCAAAAAGTTCGCCAATAGGGACTTTTAGATTGAGTGGACGAGAACAAGACGAACGCCGACTGATCAACGTATTCAACTGCCCATGTTGACTACAATTAGAAATCTTTTATACGATATACATGCATGCAGGAAGTATAAAACTATGAACATGACAGACAAAGAAAGAGGACAAAATATACAGTTCCTCATTCTACCTCAACAATTGCTGTGGTAGAACATCCCTTCACTGCTATTATGTAAAAATGTGTAGAACAGGTGAATATGCATGTGACACCTGTTCTACACATTTTTACATAATAGCAGGGTAGGGATGTTCCTTTGTCTACCTGAGGAACAGTATGTTTTATGCGCACGCGGCATATACTAGTACCGTACTAGATTTAGGAAAATCAAGGTTGACGCATTCTCGATCGCCGACTGAGACCACGTGACGCATGCGCAGTGCCTTAAAATGACGTCACACGTTGCAGTCAAAGCTGTCAACGTGCAAATCTAAAAGTCCCTAATGTATTGCGTCCATCTACTCATTTTGTCCTTCATTTCAAACAAGATTGTCCCACCTTTTCCTTTGATACAGCCAGGGTTTGAACAACCAGACTTTTTACCTGAAATTCCATTTATTCTTTGGTAAACATTACTTTTCTTATCGAATAGATTTTCAATTTCTGCACATTGTTCGTGTAGCCAGCTCTCTTTTGTCTCATTACACGTTTGCCTAATTTGTTTGTCTCGGTCCCTATATTTCTTGAATTGTCTTTTTCCAGTCTTTCATCATTAAAAGAATTTCCTCTGTCATCCATTTGTTCCTTCTTTTTCTCTCTTTTATCGGCACATACTCTTCCGCTGTTTGTACCAGAATATTTCTCATCGTCTACCACGTGTTTTCTTCACCTTCATCTATGAGCAACTCAAACCTATTCTTTATTTGTACAGTAAATTCTTGACGTATGTCCGGTTTACTCAACTGTTTAAAATCAAATATTTTCACAATTTTTGGTCTCTTGAGTTTCTTTAATTTGCACTGAAGTGTACATATCAGCGCGCATGATCACTGCCGCAGTCAGCCCCTGGATATGTTTTTGATTGTTTCACTGCTCTTTTAAATCTACTATTTATGGCAATGTAGTCCATCTGGTTTCTGACGATGTCGCCAGGACTCTTCCAAGTGTATACTCGTCTAGGGTGTTCTTTGAACCAAGTATTAGTGATGACCATGTTCTCCCCCTCACACCACTGAACCCATCTGTCCCCTCGTGTATTCCTTTCACCATTTCCATGCGTACCTACTGCTTTGTCCTCTGTACCTTGACCGACTTTAGCGCTCAGGCCTCCCAGGACAATGACAATTTCATTTGATTTGCACTGAGATTTAGCTTTATCTAAGGAATCGTAAAATTTGTCAATAACTTTGTCTGCCGTCGATGCATAAAGCACTCTGATTGAGATGTTAAAAGGGTGTCTCTGTATTTTCACTGGGAGCACCCTATCACTTACACACCAGTGTCCCAACACACTCTTTGAGATATCTGGATCCAGCAGTAACCCCGCAACTCTTTCATGCTTTTCGCCTCCTGGATAAATTGATCTGTACTCATCTATCACAAACTCGCCGTTATTCAGCCATCTTGTTTCATTTAGTCCCAATATGTTGACATTTAGCCTTATCATCTCTTGTTTAACATTTTCCAGCTTGCCGCTCTGATACAGTGTTCTCACATTCCATGTTCCAACTCTGATGGTATTCCCATTGCGAACAGTAGCTGACTGACGGTCGGGGCCCATTTGTCGCCCATGGGACACCCTACCGGGCGAGGTGCTTGTCCCTTGAGGTAGACGAGCCCTCTTCACGCCTTTGTCTTTTGCTTTAGAATTGTGGTTCATCATGATTGTTCTTGGAATAACAGTGAAGTGGTTTTCCGTTGCCTTCTTCACCGCAGTAGTTAGCCGTATCTGG